GTTTGGCATACATGTGTGTGCACATGTGTGCGTATTATGTGTTCGTGAGTGTGTATGCGTGTGTTTGTGTGTGTGAGTGTGTGTGTGTGTCGCGTGCATGAATATTTTTCTTACATGCATTTATGTAAAGCGCCTAGAGCTGTGTTTACACGGGAGTGGGCGCTATAGAAATGATTTTCATTATTATTATTATAGCTAAGAATAACACTTTTACTCAAAAAATGAGAATATTTCGTAATAAATCTGTTTTAGTTTTATCTTTTTACATTGACATCTTTTTAGGCTTAAAAATCCCTGAGCAAGTCCATTGTTTAATAATGATTAATTGTTTTCAGCGAAATTATGTATGTGTTCTTGTTTTGAAGTAGTTGTCCTCGTTCTCACTTTTTAAGATTTCCGTGCCGTGCACTCTACTTTCAGTTTCTCTATTACGACCGTAATTTCCGGTTATGTGTCGGAATAATGATTGCAAGAACTCGAGCAATATCGACTGTGATTTCTGAGTTTTCTGTGTCTAAGAGGTCATTTATAAAACTTTTTCTTCGGACAGGTCGCTGTCACCAAGAGCAGAATCACCAGACAAGTATATATCAAACACCAGCCCGTGTATCTTGTCGAAGGGCTGCTTCGAATTTTACGAAAATGTCCTCTGTTCACGTGAAAAATTTCGAACAGGACGACAGACTCCAAATTTCCCTGGATCTTGTAAAAGAAGGGAAAACCAAATCCTTCAACTTAAACAGATTAAAGACTGAAACCCTCAGTTCTGCCGTAGAGCGGCTTCAAACTAATCTGGCAAAAAAACTGGTTAATAAGAAGTCTAAAAAAAAGAAGGCCAAAGTGGAAACTGAAACGGGGACTGCTACTACTACTGTAGGTTCGCTTGAAAAGGATGAATCAGAAATTCCTGTTGCTGTCCTTCACAATGGGTTGGCTGCAGATCTTTCTTTGACTAATATTGACGCCTGGATCGACGGTGCTGTTTTAAAAGTGGGTGACGAAGAAATTCCTGTATCTTTAAATCCACCCTCTGCCAAACTGGAGAAATTGCCTCGTGTTATAATGGAAGACTTTCCTTTGTATCCCTACGCTGAATTTGAATTTGTAGATGTCAAAGAATGTGAGTTCTTTTGGAAGACTTTCCCGTCAAAGCTTTTACCTATTGTAAGCAAAAGTGTTTCTTCGGGTGATATTGACTTGTCTGATGCAGTTTCCGGTAAAAGTTACACTCCCACTAGCTCAGAGAGAGACTATCATGTCCTTCTTGCTTGCGTCCCGAGGAGTGGGGACAGAGTCGGGAAACTGGATGCAGTGATATCGAGCGCAAAAGTGTCACCTGGTCCAGGGCCTTGTCCATTTGAAAAACGTTTTGAGTTCACCAACATACCGTCACAGGATGGGCTGTATGTATTATTAGTATTTTTATCATAATTTTTTATATCGTATGAACTCGTAAGAACTTGAAATATTTTGTTCTTTCCCTTCTTATGTCATGTCTGTCTTCTTGCTGTGTTTGTGTCGCAGTCCTTGTTTTCTCAAGTCACTCAGATGATGCCAGAATACTGACTCTTGACTTTTGTGGTTAAAAAAAATCAATTACAAACTCAGCTCTTTGACCTTGATGATCCTTATTTATATCATTTTATAGTGAATCGTTATCATGTCATGCTGTACTGTATGAGGTTGTGTCCCTGCATAATATTATTCCCAGTAGGAGTTTTCCTTTCCTCTGCTGTCACCAGGTGGGTAGTTGGCAGTTCTTATCGAACTTATCATTCAGTTAAAAAATAAGTAATCTCTCCTTTTTCTTTTCTATGTCATGTCATGTGTAGTGTCATGCTACTCTTTATTTTTTATGAGTAATGTTATCTTTCTTCTCTTTGGTGCATATAATACCAATAACTCTATAGCTCCAAAATTGATGAGCACCTGATTCCACCGCATCGTGACACATGTGACAATATCTTTGTTTTGTAACGTTCTAGGTTCCGTGTTTTGAGCTACAATATCCTGGCTGAGATGTATGCTGATACAGATGTCGCCCGCACACAGTTGTTTGCCCATTGTCCACAACAAGCCTTGGACATGTCCTACAGGAAGCAACTCATATTGAAAGAGATTCTTGGTAAGATTTCTTCTCGCTTTTGAGTCAGACCTGCTCAAAGGGCCTTGTCTAAAAAAAGGACAATCACCAGTACAAACAACCACTTACCATTTTATCTCTTTCATTTTTTCATCATTATAATGAGCCTGTCCAAGACACCCATCTGTCTAAGACACTCACTTTTCTCACCCACCAATGGGTGCTTTCTTGGACTCTATTTCAACTGTACTTCTGTGTGATGAGGGTTCTCAGCTAGGCTTTAGAGTAATTGTCATTCTCCCAGCCAGCAAGTCTTTGCTCTCCAAGATGGAGCTGTCTCTCAGAAAAGGCTCACCCTGGTTTTCAGGTATGCTGAAGTAGTTTTCAGGGAGGTCCCTAGTGGTTCTGGTAGTAAAATTGCTGAAACGCTCATCTTTTCAAATGAGGATGATGTAATAGAGATCATGAGATGTTCATTTTGTTATGCCGCAAATATTTGTTCTGCCAATCTATTTACTTTTGTTGATGGTTACTATGCTCTGATGTGGTTTATTTCTTCTTTTATATATCTTATCCATAGAGGAAAGCAAACAGACAGGAAAAGTACACTGAGGATTGGCAAAGGAGTAAGTCCTTCTTCTTTATCTCACTGGAAATGTTTTTATTTCTCAGGGTACCAAGCTGATTTACTGTGTCTACAAGAAGTGGACAGGTCGATATTCCGGTCGCATTTGAACCCTGCTCTCAGCTCTAATGGCTACACTGGACTTTTTCGCTCCAAGGCTGGTCAACTCGGAGAGGGTTGTGCTACCTTTATGAGGGACAGTAAATTCAGGTGACATAGAGTTCTGCTATATATATATAGGTACTACTAACCTATTTATAAACAACACAGGTACAAAGATCAATAATCTAAAAAAATCGGTCCATAAATTTGTTAAAGTTATCAGTGTGTACTTACTTTACTCTTTTTTTCTTCTGCTTGTACCGGGGGGTGTCGCGGGGAGACACAGGCGTCTGTTTGCAGCAAGGCGAGTGGCCTGTAGGAGGGACATCCCGTGAGCTCTGAGGGTGTCTGCCACAGATTCACTCCATGGTCGCCTTGGTCTTCCTCTGGCTCTCCATCCAGAATATTTAGTGTTGTATGCTCTCACAGCTAGATGGTTTTAGGGCATCCGCGTGAGGTGTCCGAACCACTTGACCTTATCAGTGTGTACTTATCAGAAATTGTGGGTATTTTGGAGAAAATTCCTATAGAGGAATAAAGAAGGGAAAAACGGCACCAGATTATTGAAAACCCATAACTTTCAGATTTATAAATGGAATGAGCTGAAAATTCGTGAGTTTATGTTTTTGGGGGCAACAAAATAGAAAATGAAAGAATTAAAGTTGTAATTTCAATACCTCGGTAATTATATGCAAATAAATAATTAAATGAGCATAATTATAAATGTTAAGATATAACAAGATACATCGTTATTGTCCAGATCCTGGCACATTGCTTTTGTGTTTCACCACACACACACACACCCCCACATAAACACACACGAACACACACGCATACGCAAACACATGTGCACACCCATTTACACACACTCTTCCCACATACATCCTGTCACCTCTCTTCAACACACATCTGACCATCTGTTCACATATCCATAATAGCACAATAGTACGCTTGCACTCACAAAGAGGCTTACAGTCACATATGCATAAATATAAATGAACGGTAGTTATTATATAAGCATTGATAGAGTGTAAAGGTAGATGTCTGCATTCAATTTTCTGATTGTAACTCAATGGTATTCTGATGCATCTTTTAAAGGTCATAGGAATACTTATAACAAGATGATTAAGATCGTAAACAGGTCAGAAGCCAAGGTCTTTTACTTCTGATTGATATTTTTATTTGAGGGAAGAAGGGAAGTTTATTTTCCACAAAGAGAGAATTAATTTTTCTGACACACGGGATAATGTATAATTCATTGAAGTAGGGGAATGTAGATGTTGAAATTTTGCGTGCTTTCCGTATTAATCGATTCAGTTTTAAAAAAATCTTGTTGTCTTGTGTTCTGGCCTATGCTGTCGTACAGAAATTGATCATATGAAGGTGTCATGTCTTTGAGTTGTGTTGACTGAGAATCTCTTCTCATGCATGCTTTGTTGTATTAAAGTGTATCTTTGTATCAAGTCACAGCTTATTTGTCAGTGGAATGTGATGTGATATGTGTTTACTCTTGGGGGCCTTCACAATTCAACATTGTCATATATTTTTCTTATTTTGTAAAGGAGATGGACTGAATGATAAAAAAGTATCTTGCTTTCTAAGATTTTTACTTAGTTTATGTGTTTATGCAATATGGGGGGAAAATACTGAAGTTAAAAAATTATTGTGTATGCCTTATAGTGCACAGTACAGTGGGTGCCGCGTTCAACGATGTCACATTCAACGAGAAGTCGGCTCCAACGAGGCAATCCTTAATCCCCAATTTTTTCCTCTATATATCTTTGCAAATGTACGTCAGCTCCAACGAGGTTGCAAATAGACCGAAGTCACTTTCAATTATGTCGCGATAACCAAATAAAAGCAATTAGCGACCCCAAATTGAAAAGGGAAGAATTTTTCTCCTTTCTCTCCATCTCACACGAAGCACAAGGCCCATCCTCGATTTCTAACCCATTGTATTGCTAGATCTTGTGTGCCTCCTAATATATATATGGGCCCCAAAGCCGAGAGGATGGGCAAGGGTTAGGCTACGGTAGGGATGGGAGGGGGTGGGTGGGAACATGATGCCGGCTGTGTGGAACTGGATCAACTATGGATGGGTAGATCAAGGTCTAGATCGAGACCTTCATTTTTTTCAAGTTTCTTTTCTTCCACTGATCAGAAAGTCCAAGCTCCTTTACTTTATGCTAATTTCTAGGCCTAGATGTGAGAGGGTATGTTTCCCCACAAGAAGTGTTCCGGAGAAAAAAATACTTTAAAATGCAGAAATGGTGGTCAGAACACAGCTCAAACACGCACACACTGATGCTGTTTGAGATTTTCGTCATCAGGGGAACAACTGTGTTAATTGCTGGTATTGGTACTGCGTGTAATAATCTAATAACTGGTCTCCTTTCTTTTCTTTAGCCTTAGTCACGTTCAACGAGAGGTCGGGTCCAACGAGGACAACAAGCAGATCTCAGCAACCTCGTTGAATGCGACACCCACTGTATTCTTTCCTGGTGTGGAAGCTCTAGACTTTTGGCTCTGTTTCTGTCATGTGGCCGATTTTTTGGCCTCTCTTGATCTTAACTGATTGGCTCAAGCTGATTTTTATTTCAGGAAATAGTGTCATTATGCACTGACTCCATTGTAATCTTTGTACATGCTAAATTAATTTCCAGCTTCTACCAGCCACAATATGGAAGGTACTTTCTGTTTGGCCAACGAAAATGCGAGAATTGTAGTCTTTTCATTTGACCCATCTAATCCGCTTCCTGTTCATGAATCAAGAGAATGATAGGGATGAGCTTAAATCTAAAACAGTGTTGAAAAGTGCTCCAAGCCTTTGCCAAAACCCCTCTTTTTCTTTCTTTATATTTGGTTTTGTTGCCTTTTAAAATCCTAATATTTCAACTATGTTTTTATAAAAACAGCCTGACCTCAAATTAATTTTAAAAATTTCTTTTCTCAATTATCCACAAAAGACCCAACAGACCATAAAATATATTTTCAGAAAGGGCATAAGATTTGCAATGTTTTGTTTATTCAAGATTTTTCAAATTGAAGTTTGTGGTAATATCAGAACTTCATGGATTGCTTATGCATACCTTGTCTAAGCTTTCTGTAAATATAGTTTTTGGGCCTTTGGGAGTCTTTTTTAGGGGCTCAGATTAGAACTTTTACGTCATATACTAATTTTCTCATGAACCACTTTGCATTCCAGGCAAACACATCAACAGAAATAGGGCAAGGCAAGGTGAATGATTGTTGAGCTTTCTCTTTTATGATAACCTAAATTCCTATCTGTAAAGTCTGACGACTCGCCCTCACCCAGGTTGGTTAGAGAACTAGACATCACGATCTCAGAGTACCTTAGCAGCCATCCGGATTGTGTGGATATCTGGACGGAAGTTTGCAAGTCGGAGCAGCTGAAACAGAAAGTGGAAGAAAGATCCTCGATCTTACAGGTGAGGCACTAGTTCTGTAGTGCATTTTTTTCTTTCACAGGCAAAACAAAGAATTCAATCTTGGTTCAGTAAGTTACGACACTGCAAATGTGAATCTTTTATGACTAATGTTCAAAATGGCTTGTATAATGACTTTTAAACTGTCTTCATCTTTTATTGTTTTGAGTGAGGTGGAATATTTTAATCTTGTATTACAAGAGCAGCTATGAGAGCACTACTGGTGGATCATACTTTTTCTCTTTCCTTCTGTTGCTTCTGTTTGTCTTGCTTTTTCCCTGCACTGGTTGACCCATATATTGTGTCAGTGTGCTTCTCTTTTGCTCAAAACCAAAATATTTTTTGCTTAATGGGTCCTCTATTACCTGTATTACCTGTCCTGGTTATCAACATCATTGCACACCGGACAGTTCCATAAGTGCCCAGTTCCTCCCAGCTCCCAAGTCCGCAAGATATCCATACTGATTGTTCCAGTGGCTGCAGGTAATCGTTCCTTTCTTCCTTCTACCCTCTCTATCCCTTTTTCCTGCATCCTGATGATTGCGTGGTGTTATTTTAATGGGTCCTTTAGTGGGCAGATGCTGTGCCTTTCTTGTCCTAATAATGTGTCCTAATAATGATGATAATAGAAAGTATTTGTAAAGTGCACATCCATGCCCAGCAGCAAGCCCTATGCTCTTTACAATATATGTGTCATGACGTGGTTGAATCAGGCGCTCGCGAATTTTGGGCTAATGGAGTTATTAGTATCATCTTAAAGCCTGTTCATTTGCGTTGCTTTTACTGAACTTTTATTGAAAAAAATACCTGTCTATCTTGAACAGAAGTTACGATATTTGCGCTATTGAAGGAGGTGGGGTTGCTTGGCCAGATGTAAAATTAGTTACAAAATGACCACCAAAGTTTGGTGACTTCCATTGCTCAAGAGTCCTTGGAAACAGCAAATTTATATTTTCTGTGTTTTTAATCATTGTTTTTCAGTAAAGATCAACACATAAATTTGTTTTAAAATGAAACTAAAAGGTGTTGAGGCAAAAAACAACATTTTGATAAAAAATGCAAAACAGGCTAAAAAATACTGATTTCTTTGATTCATTCTTTTGACGAGCGCCTGATTTCATTATGTTGCCTACATATATCATTACCCCCAGAAAACCCTCAAACACTCAGAAACATTCTCATTTTCTCCCTCACAGGTGACTGTGGTAGAGAGTGTGGAGAACCCTGGCAGCTACCTCTGTGTGGCCAACACTCACCTGTACTTCCACCCCAGAGCCTGCAACGTCCGGCTGATACAGGGGGCCACAGCGTTACGCTACCTGCAGAGTGTCTGTCAGACGTACGAGCAGGAGGTGAGCCATTTGGATTTGTTGTGACCTTGGTTGGACTTTAATTCACTTGAGCCTGAATTATTTTTCACCCAACAACCATTGGAGCCTTACACTTTCGGGGTATATTGAAGCGTTAACCACAAAATGATTGTGAAAGCTATCATAATTTTTAAAATGCAGCAAGAGAAAGAAAGAAATGCTCTCCCAGAAAAAGAAAACTGCATCTAATTTGTCCGAATAGTTTTTATTTTATCAATATTTTGAAATGGCAATGTCTGGGGTAACACTTTTTTTTTTGGGCGCTTAATTTTTAGTAAAATCATCCATGACAATGCGGAGGTGACTGACTTACTCTGTTACAGCTCAAAAAGTTTCGCACCTAACTTCATTCAATTTTTAACAAAACTAAACTAGTAGGTCAACTGTTGGCTCCCCTCTTCCCATACCTTGTAACCAAAAAACACAGGAGATATCGATCGATAAAATGCATCCCGTAAATACATGGGATTAGGCCACCAGGCTTTCTCGGTGTCCCATAAATACTCGGAAATCGGCTCTAGTTTGTTAAGATGCTTTATCGTGCTTTCAGCTTGAACCACGGTGGAGTCCGCTACAACAGAAATCTGGGACCGCCGGAGTTCCTTCGGTTTAGCCGGGTTTTCAGTTCCGAGAGGTTGCTCAGATAGAAGAAAAAATGGTGAATTTCATTTTCTTACAGTTTACCGCCCTTTTAGGATGAACCAAGTTTGATTTAAGCAGACTCAATTGTATACATTTATTTAGAACTTGATGAAAATTCATGTTTAGCTTTATTGTAAAAGATTTTCTTCTTTCAAAAAGAAAATTGTTAACACACTTTGTTAATGCTGCGCAAAGAAAGTATTCACAGTGTAAAGAGATTTTCTGAAAGTTGTATGTGGTCAGCTAGAAGCTAAAGGACAAAGTTTCTCATCACTTCTGGATGGGGGGAAATAGATAGATTGTCTCCACACTATAATTTTGTCAAGCTGACTCAAATTATCATGAAACAGCTGCAATTTTCACAATACGCATTGATGTTGCTCTTGTTTCTGGTGAAGTTTCTGTGGAAAATTTTTAGTTTTCAGTCAAATTTGGTACCCTGGTACATTTTTATGCTTATATATTGTATGATATATAACATGAATAATGTGTGTTTGTTGAAGTAGAAAATATGCTCATGTAAAGACCTGCTGTACAGTGGAACCAAGTGTTTGTGTGGTTTAGACATGGGTCCCATCATTCCCTTTGAGTTAATCACTCTGTCATGCTGTAGACCACATGTCTGATAGTTAAGATCTCAAGAAAATTCATCCTCAGGGCTTTGGAATTGCTTGGCTGGCAATATTAAAGTAAAAAACTAATGCTCTACTTTATGCAAGCCCAAATTCAAAATGGTGAGTCTAATGCTTTAAGCTGATGGCTCACACTTGCAGATGTATAAAATGCACATGCAAGTGTACAAGCGTAAATCACATACACTTTCAAGCTTACATGCAAGTGTTGTCTCCATGTGTAAATCATATGCACTCACAAGCTTACATTATGAAACTGTATTACTTCTCACTGAAAATCCTATGGGATGAGCATGCTCACTTGAGACTCTTGCCGTGCATGTAGCGTTTGTTTTCATAGACCCCTCTTGTTTCCCCAGGGCTCACAGGTGGCCTTAGTGTTTTGCGGAGACTTCAACAGTGATCCTCTGGTGGGCGTGTACCAGCTCTACACCGCCGGGTGGGTGCCGGCCGACTACCAAGATTGGGACTCTGGTCAGTTCTCACTTGTATAGTTTGCCTCATTTTTTTTGTATGTGCACTCATACACTGGTATACCGCCGCCTTCGCTTTATATGGTCGCTTTTAAGCACAAGGGGGCCATCCTGAAAAACGCTATTTGAGAAAATCGATTGATAAGTTTTTGCCCCTTGTTCAGTTTCTTTAAAAGACAAGGAGAGTTTTCTCATAACCAAACAAATATACACACCAATGAAATCAAACTTCTCCTATAGGTAGGGCAACACCCACATTTGGTGTAGGTCAAGATTTCTGGAACCCCCCGAAATCTGGGTTAGCCCGCTTGTCCTTAAAAGCGACCATATAACCACCCCACTTAGTGCCAGGTTTTGTCCATCCAGAAAAAGAATTACTTGTATAAACATACTATTTGCCCTCTTATACAACCATCTACCAATTGCCTGAGTTGTAGGCTACAGTCATTACTAAACTAATGACGAATGTAAATTTTCTCCCATAACGCTGCCAGTGAACTGGCCGCCATAGGCACTCGCTACACTTGGTGCTTGGCACTCGTTTGGCACTTGTGCAGTGATAAATCTCCCTTTCTCCCACTTACAATACTGCGAGCTAGCGATTGTTACAGGCAAGGAGCCTGAAGGCCATCTCATCAAGTTTAGGACAGCGAGCAATAACTTATTACCCTGTTAAACTGCCAGCCCTACTATACTGCCTACTTCATGTTCATCACAAGGTTGACAGTGTAACTGGGTTTAACCTTAAAGAGTGCCCACCCATGCTAATCACTGATAAGACAAGAGTGAGTGGTAGACTAACAGAAGATTTTATGTTACGGTTTTATGTGTAACTTATTTGGGCACTAAAACAGTCCCTCAACTGTTTAACTTATCTTACCAGTCCAGGTCAGCCATGTACTTCTTTGAAATGTTTTTCTGTTATAGGTTTGCAGTGGAAGGATAGAAGTTTTCTTTTATGAGAATCTTTTCTGCTCTCTCTCTCCCTGTTATTTCTCTTTTATGTCTTATGCTTTCCTCTTCCAAACACTAATTGGCCTTGTTGTTGTGCCTATGATGGAATGCTCTGCTCCCTATGATGTTTTTCAGCATTGCTATTAATGTTATTCTCCTGTCCTTCTTGAGAGAGGTTTGTTGTCGCCAGGCAACATGTGGTAAGCAGTCGCCCATCGTATTCCTTGTCCTAATATCTTACTTTGTACAACATTGCTGTTATGATGCCTTCTCTCCTGTATTCACAACTTATCAAGAGCTTCTTTTTTACTGAAAAATGTTGTCCCTTCAAATAAAACGAAAAAAATTCCCTGTTTTTGTCTGTCCAGCCGGCCCAGAGGAGAAGATCACAGGCCTGGAGTTGCGACAGCCAATGAACATTGAGAGTGCCTGCGGAACGCCCAAGTACACAAACTTCACTCCAATGTTCAACGAATGTCTTGACTATGTCTATATCGACGCTGATAAGCTGAAGGTGGAATCTGTCGTGCCCATGCCTGATCATGCTGATGTGGTGGCAAACGCAGGATTACCCAGCGTTGTGTTCCCCTCTGACCACATCGCATTGATATGTGATCTCAAACTGAAAGATTGATGAAGTTTTGAAAATACGTGTTTGTTTTGATCATCAACTTGAGCTTTGAATTTTTAGATAAGTTTTGTCCTAGACTCAAGACAGTTCTCTGGAAGGTACAGCACTTAGTCCAGTGGTTAAAGTAAAGAAGTAAGAAGGGATGAAAGAATGCAGAGGGGGATGTGCCAAAGGAAATATCACACATAAAGAAAGAGAAAGGAATTATTATGATTAGAAATACTCTGTATGCTTCTCAGGAAATGGAGATTGGTTTTGATAGCTTCAAGTGTGCTGGAGTAATAATGTAGATTGCAAAGCTTTTTGTTTGGTGGGGGGGGGGGGGGAGAATCTTTGCTAAACAAACGCTATTTATTGTCATGATTATTATTTCTATTGTTATTACAGTCAAACCTCATTTACCCCCCCCCCCCCCCCCCAATTATACAGCCAACCCTGCTTACTGCCAGGTTTTGCCAATATAAGATAAGGAATGCTTAGATAAACAATGCACTTTCACATAGCTATCTGCCGACTGTCTAAGTTGCACAGTCCTTGTTTAACTAATGTAAATTTGCCCTGCCATACTGATAGCCTCTTGATAATCTTTTTCCCACAAAAAAGACATAGAGGTAGAGAGAGAGAGAGAGAGAGAGAGAGAGAGAGAGAGAAGACTTGCGGCTCTGAATACATGTACATGTATAATCACCAACAAAAAAAGACACTTCTCAAGCACATATCAAACTGGAGAATCATGTTCCTTCAAGTTCGGCAGTCAGGGACTATATAACAGAGGAACTCTGTTGAACCCCCAGCCCCGCTGTTCCGCCAGCTTCATGCTCGTTTCAAGGGTGGTGGTATAGTGAGGTTTGACTACATTATTATTATTATTATTTTTTATTATTGTATTTTTATCTTTGATGTTCAAGTCTGTTTTCCTCCTTTGTTCTCCGTCGGGCTTGAAAAAATGTGTTATTGATTTTTAAAAACTTTTATTGACTTAAATTTGTTTCCAGGGAATGATAGTTGAGAATGGATTTATTTTTTAATAAAAATTAGTCAATCTGTCAAATTTATTTTTTAGTTGTTTTTTTTTGTTTCTTTGTTTTACTTTTACACCAAAATTAGGTAAGATTAATAGCAGTAGTGACAGTTTTTAAAATTACTTTCTATGAACTTGTATGATCTTTCCTTGTTAAGAAACTTTTGAATTTTATTTTCCCATTTTTTAAAAACTCTTAAACTCGAGTAGTTGTTGGGGTGTGTTAATGAAATGTAAAAGAAGAATGTCGTATGCCTTTGCTTCTTATTATGGAACTTCATCCTATGTAGTCAGCTACATGAATTGTATTCTTTTTCTCCGACTGACTGTAATTAAAAATGGTCTAGCAGTATCTGTGTTTTTGATGTTTTGAATTAATGAATAAGAGCTTCAGGGCGGTAGAAATGAATTACTAACAACAAACCTCTTCTTATTTTCCTACAGCAATTACAACCCTTAAAAAGAAAGATTAGTTTCTCATTTGGTGTTTTTGTGGATCTTAATACCCTGCAAAATTTGAGAGAGCTGCTATCTGTTGTGTTTTGTGATAAATTAAAAACTTTGAATTTTGAGATTATTGCTGAAATGTTTTTGAATCTGTATTTATTAGAATTTACCACTCACCCCCCCCCACCCCCCCACCAAATCCTGACCACACTGTGACAATGGGAATGGTCAAACCATCTCTTTGAAATGTCACTTTTACTTCGTGACCTCACTTTTACCAAGAAAATTGTGGTTCTCACAGTATTTGCAAAAGGACAGAATGCCAAACCTTTCAATTGTTCATCTTTGGTTATCATTCAGTTATCTGCTTTGGCTTTCCCCAGCCTTGATGTATAAAAGTAGAGTATTAGATAGAGTCAGCTTAAATATGCTGGATGCCCACATTTTCTTCCGTTTAGCAGGGTTTTTTTATTTTGAGAGGTAGCTCAGTTTTCTTCAGTGTATAAACCATGTTCAGTTTAAGCGGACTCACTGTATATTATTCTATGAAATTGTTCTAGATATAAGAATTCGTCTCTAACACTAACAGTAGTAACTGTTAGATTCCGTGTTTTCCCTTTCAACATATTATACTTATACTTTGGAATTCCTGAGTCCACAAACCTAAAAGCTTTATATTATAGTTATAGGCTAAATCCTGTATCCCAACAATTTGAACGGGCACGTGTAATAATAATAATAGTAATAATAATAATAATATAATGAATTTTTAAAAATCCTGCTTAACAGCCAACTTTTCAAATGAGCTTTGCAATCTATCTTGAATTATTATTATTAATATTACCATCCAGCAGATCTGTTGGTATTCTTAAATAGTCTTAAATTCCTGAGAAGGATGCGGTGCTAGTTCCATTACACCGACATACATGGCATGTTTGAAGCAATAATCAAATTAAAATCAACATTAGCTGCACTTGATTTGAGTGCTTCTATACTCAGGACTCGGATATTGCTACAACCCCCGGGGCAGTGCCACTGACTGTAGTGTCTTTTTTAGGCCATTCCCAAAGGGGAGACATTTCTCGTTCAAGCACTGTAGAATTGTAAATGGGCTAATTCATCATGTCATGCTCATAACTGTGCCTGATCTACAAAAGGGAACTGCTGCTTTTTCTTTCCTAATCCTTACTATTGTCATTTTCCTCTACTTCTTTTGTATGTTTGTCACACTCTTGTTACCTGCTATTTCCGGGGTGCCTTGATAGTCGAAGCAGACTTTGTGCTGTTGAAGCTAGAGAGGTGAGCAGAGTAAATCTGATTCCCTGTAAGGACCTCTCTGTTGACACCCACCCCTTGGCACTCATATGACCTTATGCAGTTGCGAGCGCCATAAAACCTTCTACAATAAAAAATAAAGGATATCGCTACACTAGAATTATAAAGTTCTATGCTTCTTACCTAGTTTTAAACATTTGACGCTAAAAATTCGAGTTTCACAACATGTCCAGCTGTTTCGAATGCAATTCTTTAAAAATCTTGATATCGACTCTGAATAATCCTCCAATTCTGATAGAGCAGATAGTACATTTGGTTTCTGACCACACGGTCTTAGTAAGTCAAAACGGTAAAAAATGTCAGAAAGAACTTTGTAATTCTGAGATAGCTAAATATTGCATTCTGGACAATACGATACATTTGTATCTGTTGTCCCGTGCTCACCACAGGGAGGTGGGAGTAGGTTTAAAGTGGGCGGATGATTTGTTGTTTAACCTTTTCGCATCGTGCGGCTTTAACGGTGGGCATTCCCTAAGAACGCCATTTTTATGTGTGCTGTTCCCTGGAAACGCGCTATTTTGGGGGTGTTTTCAAAGAAATATATTTCATCGGTTTTAAATCATAGATGTTTGTATTAGGAGTTAAAGTAAAGTTCAAATCTTTGTCAACACAAACAGTTTTCAGGACCACATTCACTTTCTTTGACAAAAGTTGTCAACTGTACAAAAGAGCGTTTGGGGCTGAAAAAAAGAAAAGTTTTCAAAACAAATTCTACACCCCGATACACACACTAAACAGTTGAATGGTGTTTCTTCAATGATCTTAATTAACGCCTGCTCAGACAGGCGTGATCCATGATAAATATAATTCAACTAAAATCAATAGAAAATTCAACCTAACGAGTGAAAAATGTGCTGAGTAGCTTTATGAACAGCTCAATATACTCAAGCAGCGGGTGAGTCAGCTGCTTCTTTCGGTTCAGAGTTGAGTTGTACACCTCAAAGCCGCCAGGGTAGAGTGCATCTTCGCAGTTTGAGCCCCAGGGCAATGTCATTTTCTTTTGGCATATTCTGTTCACTGCTGACATCCCAGCTCTGCACGCATTTCCTGTGCACATTTCCTACTGCCACCTAAAGGTTCTGTTTCCGTGGCGTTGTTTTCAACCTACCGACACTCTTTGAGAACATGCCCCTTTCATAGTTAGGAATGTTACAAGCTAATAGTGTCAGATTTACAGGACCCCATGATCACATCGACCAGCTTGAATACCTGTTTCTTGACAACATTTGCCCTCTGTTCCTGCTGGGTGTTTTCTCAAGAATAAGTCTAGATACGAAGTCTCTCTCAGAATAAAGTTTCCCTCCTCCATAAAATCGGCAGTACGCAACCAACAGCCACCAAATTTTGTGACATCATGAAACATGTCTAAGAAATCTCAAAGCCAAATTGCATGTGCATTGGTGAACGGTTCATAGAGCTGTGGTGTATCAAGTGTTTTGGTGCTCTTTGTCCAAGGCAAATTCCAGGAAAATGGCTGAGCAAAACATTGGTGCCACCTTCTCAGGCTACGATGTCTCAGTCGTGATCAATTATTCAACATCTTAACAAGTCTGCAGCTGAAACCTATGGTGATCTATACAAAGTAATAAGGAATAATGCCTTATAATCAATTCAAACAGTAAGGAAATAGATCGGGGAGGTTGAAGGTGGGAGGTCTGACATGAAAGATGAAGTGCACACAGAAAACACGGGCACAGAAAGGTGATGCACATTGTTTTTGGTTTTTTTACATGAGTGGCATCATACTGATCGAGCTGGCTAACTGTCAATGGTGACTACTACAGATTCGTCCTCAAAGACAAGCTGAGACCAGCGATCCGGACAAAAGATCTTCTTTGCTTGAAGAAGGCGTCATCCTGGATCATGACAACGCGCCTGTTCACAAGTCCAGAGTTGTGAACGAGCTTTTTGAGAGCTACTCGTGGTAATTACTGGAACACCCGCCCTATTCCCCCGATCTCGCCCCATGAAACTTCCACCTATTCACCAAGGTGAAAGAAATGCTGCGGGGTCTCCGATTTGAGGATGAGGACCAGATTCAAAAGGTTATGAGAAAAGCACTCGGGACCATGGACAAACGATTAGTGACCACTGTCTTTGACCGCTGTGTACATCAAATGGAGACATGTCTTGAACTTGATGTTCCTACGTTGAATAGGTATTTGAATAAACTTTCTGTTGATACCAAATACAAGGTGATTTATTATTACATGTATTCCTATACTTATACTGCAGTCTGTCTCTCTCTCTCTCTCTCTCTCTCTCTCTCTCTCTCTCTCTCTCTCTCTCTTTCTCTCTCTGTTTCTCTTTTTTCCCCTCTCTCGCTTTGTCTATCTGTGTCTCAGTCTGTCTGTCTGTTTTGTCTGTCTGTCTGTCTTTCTCTCTTTCTCTGTCCCTATCTTTTCTTCTCCCCTTCTCTCGCTCTGTCTATTTGTCTGTCTGTTTGACTGTCTGTCTGTCTGTCTGTCTCTCTCTCTTCTCTCTCTCTCTCTCTTCTCTCTCTCTCTCTCTCTCTCTCTCTCTCTCTCACACACACACACACACACACACACACACACACACACACATATTATATTAAATTCTCACTATTTCAGATCACGGAAAAGCACATGAAGCAATAATGATAAAGAGTTTAAAAGGATCTGTAACACCTTCCATCCCCCATCCCACCCCCCCCCCAAAAAAAAGTAATAGATCTAATCGGACAAAGAAAGTAGCAAAACCGATCGATGGCACTTTGTATTTAGACAACTTTTCGCAGACCCAGGTAACATATCTTTCACTAGTAGAATGCAAGCTCAATTTGGGCATTTAGACAGGGGGGAAAATCCAAATCTATAGCTGATATAAAAAAAAGTTGAAGTGTGTTGAGTTTGTGCATGGAGTGTGTGAGTCTGGTAGGACCACAGTCACATTGTCATTATTTTGATCTATATTTTTCTATCCATCAAAATATATTCGTCATCGTTTGGAAATCGAAAGAAACTCAGAGTTTGATTTTCTTAGGTGCAGTTTATAGCAGAACACCATTGACATTTCGTGATAACTGGGGCTATGCTTGTCTGCGATCAACGAAAATGCCTTGAACAATGGACGCAGTTTGTTCTGTTTACCGCGCGTTTCTCCCCGATCAACTGGTTACCCAGATACGCGCATCCGGGCGAAGTGCCTTATATCTAGATTATAGTCGGGGAACGTGGCCTCAATCACAATTGAAGTATCTGAATATTTTGACATAAATTAATCATCTATAGATCTCTAGAAATAATTCGATGCAAAAAATGCTTCTTCCAAGTTCTTGCAGTGGGTGGTTGGCGGGTGCTCTGGTGTGGTTATTGTGTTGCAAGTGCCGTAAAACTCTTTACTAAACTAAAAGTCTAATGGCAGAATGAAAGGATGCCGCCTAAATCTCGCAACCCCCCCCCCCCCCCAAATCTCGAGAACAGAAACCGTTAGGAGAAATAGAGGTCAAGAAGCTTATTTTCACGAGCATTCGCAGAAATAGTCACTACGTAATTTTAACGCAGTGGCTATGTTCACGGCGTCATGAACGAAGTTGGCAGGCTACGTTCACGGAGCCCTGAATGCAGTTTGCAGGTGCTGTTGAGGCTACATTCACGGCACTAAAGCTTTGTTTAGGGGGAGCGTCCACTCGGTTTTAGTCAGTGACGACAGTGACGTATAATATTTTGGCCAGCTTCAAGTGTTCCATCCCATGAGATGAAGGAAAACGAAGAGTCCTAACAGAATTAAAGTTTAAGTCGGGATATGGGGTATGGAAAAATGGATACGGTA